TCGTCAGAGGCTACGAAGGCTGGCACAGAGCACGAGGGAGTGTGTAGCCAGCACCACGCCTTTGTCTCACCAGTGGGGAAGGTTACACATTGCACCAGCAGGGTATTCATGTTAGAATACTGAGTCGAGCGAGGGGAAGCCCGGAACCGGTTCAGATAATCGTCACTGGGTGTTGGACGTGAGAGTGGATCGACCTCGTGTCTCCGAGTTACTAGTGCAGTGCACTAACCGCTACGCTACCGCTCACCATGCAGATATTCTCTGCTTCGGACACACACGTGCTAATTTGACAAATTGTTTGTTTTTCGTTGTATTTGTTTTCTTTCTGAAGCAAAGTTTTGTACTTTTTCACGTGATTAAAAACAGCAAAAACTGCCTCTTGTTCGTGGCAATTAAAATTCGTTGTAATTTATATCTTCTTCTCTGCCAGTGATTACTACGTAGAACAATGTGTTTGCTGAAAGCACAATTATCCTTGTCTGCAGAAAGCACACCCTGCTCTGCTACCACTTACACACCTAGGATTGTGTAATTGTTCCAGACACCCACTAGTTAATGGCTGGAACTGAGTGGCATAACATAAGCAAAAGGCAGTTTTGTTAGCGGTGCAATTTTTTTTATGATGTATGTTGTAACTTCTTTCTCATCGTACAGAGCAAACCGTGCTCATCGGTTGTGCGTTGTAAATATGAGTGAAAGTTTGAATTCCATCAACTGTTATACAACAAAACCACGCTAAAGACCACCAATCTCATCAATCTCGCAAGCGTAGCAGACTTGACTACGAGGGCTTTTGCAAATGTTTAGTTTGATGGGCATGGTTGGCTATGTACGGTGCGAAATAAGTTTAACATACATACATATAAGAATTGGGTTTACCCTTTCTGGAAATAAAACAGTTGTGTTATGATGTTGAAACACCAAACATAAATAATCGAGGTTTTTTTGGGTTAGATCACGTATAAATATATAAATGTTTCGTTAAAATCCGCCACCACCCTTACTAGTTGGCTGTTTCGGGTGGTGGCGGGATTTAACGACACATTTATATATTTACGCGCTCTCACCCAAACACCTCGATTATGGATGATATTGGTCGCGAAAGCCTACGTGTTAAACTGACCAAACAGAAACGTATTTGCAAGGAATGATGTCTGCATTAACCAGATACATGCTAGTGGTGAACATGCAAAAAAAACATGCTCTGGTAGTATATGATACATTGTCTTTGAATAGATTGGTCCACACCAGAGACAGCTTTCTTTAAAGCCGAGTCTCAAACAGTGTCAGACCAGAGGACGCCAAAAGGCGACCAGCACAAAGACAATGCCACTATCAGGACATTGAGAGCTCAGGGTGAGCAGCTACATCAAGGGACCTCCCTTGCCACTATCACAATATAATAATTGTTTTTACCCTTTCTGGCAATAAAACATGCATACATTCACACATGGTGTGGACATGGAGCTGCAAGGTGGCTATGAGATGGCCGCAGTATCCTGCATCACACGCTCGTGTGAGTGAGTGGGGGCTCCTCTGGGAGTTCTGGTTTCCTTCCCACGTGAAGCCAAACACTCGTTAAAGGAATTGGCCAAACACCCTCAATGTTCTCGAAAATGAGTCCTGACACTCAGCGAGGCTTATGCTGGGTAAACAAATGGTCGTTATGCTTACACTCGTACTGAATTTGCCAAGTAGGTTTTTTTAAAAAATTGTATTGCAAACGGCTACAGATTTTTTCCGGCCCCGCATCTCACAGTGCCGTATTTAATACATATGGCACATTACCGTATGCGCGCTTTAGCATTCCTTACAAGCAATAACAAAGTCAGCGCGAAAAAACCGCGGCATTTCTCCATGGGGGGGGGGGGGGCCTGACTAAACGTCTGCGATGCGAAAGACTGTTTGTCACGTGGGTGTGCACTCTGCAGCGTTTGGCTTTCAAACACATGACAGGACTCGGGACAAGCGGTGCGCAACGCCGTGGCGCACGGAAGCATCGTGGTTAGACTGTGGCCGCGGCTGCCCCACCGCAGGATTTAACGTGTTGCGTAATTGGTATGCCAGGAGCAACCTTGTGTCGGAGCCAAGGTCTCAACCCTCCCCTTGGCACCACACTCCTTTGCTCCTCGCAGTTGTAGTCTTGTTCTTAACCACATGCCAGCATTGCCCGTTCCTGCGGCGAGCGTATTATGCGTGCAGCATGCTTAACCGAAGCACGCGTGCGCACTGCTACGGTATATATGCGCAAAGTAAGACTCCGTCTGTGACCAAATCACTTGGGATTGCCCCTCATCCCTGAAGCTAAGCTGTTGTGAGCCTGCGTAGCGCTCGGATTGACGACCAACATGCAAAAAACAACAACAACAACTTTGTGTGGGCTACTGCAGGGCTCCATCGTCGTCAGCAGATGGTCGTGTAGCTGATTCAATTATTGTCCTGTACTATGCTCCCACGTCAATGGCGTGGCGATGTACGGTCCAAAACTCCCATGACCTGCAACTGTGTGGAGAGGCTCTCGTCCATAAGTGCGTTGACAGCACGCTTGTGAATTAATAAGCAATAACGTCAGCCCCGAGACCTCGTTCAGGTGTGTCACTTGCAACCGATCTTAGCCGTGGCTGGGGATCAATCTCAGACCGCTGGGTTCGCAACGCCGCTCTGCCACTGCTCCACCCGTGCTGACACACGTGCAATATGTATAATGCTGATGCGCTGTCCTACCAGACAGTCTCGTCCCTTCACCTGATGAAGGCCGCTTGTGTTGTGGCCGAAACGTCGTGAGAATATTATTGTGTTATTTTATTTTATCAATTTATTATTTTTTTCTCATTCTACGTGACTTTACCGAAAGAACCAAAGAAGATGTATAATGCAATGTGTGAGACATTTGGTTGATGGAGCATCTAATTACAATCGTACCTCACGTTATGAAACACAAAGTAGTGCATGTGTGTTTCATAATGCTGCGCTTACGCGTATAATAAAATATACTTAACACATTGGGTCAGCAACATTGCCTCAAAATAATCATGTATAGGAGGCGACATTTAGGGGATATGGCTCATTCTTCATAGCGTGTGCATTGTACCCATGTATGTACTGTGAAGAAGGCCCATTGCCCGAAACGTCACCTGTTATGTATTTGTATTTTTAAGGGCGCGCACGGTCTGTTTGATGAATGTGTTGATTTTGTTTTGCTTGTCACTTGTACTCCTGCACCACTGCCAACGTAGCATCACCAACTAATTTCGTGTCACACACGGATTAATGTGGGGCATGCACTACGTTATTAAGGATGGCGCACAGCGGTGCATTTTTTTTTATTGAAAATAATTACCTCCTCAAACCGTAACTTTGAGCGCTCGCCGTTAAAGTGACGCGAGGCGATACACACGCGTTCCGGCAGCGCAGTATACATCACCTTGGCCAAAATATATTTCAACGTTGGGGTCAATAATCCCCATAATGTGCCAGTCTAAAAAGTCACCCGTCCGCCAAAGAGCACACGCGCTCGGCCTTAAAGTGCCCGCTGCGCGCGAGCGGAGTCTTACCTGCCGCTCGATCAGTTCATTGTTTCCAGATTCATCACACGTCTTTGGGGGGGGTTACTGAATGCCGCGTTGCGCGGCTTAGTTCATAGGAAGAGATGCATTGCTGCCATGCACACAACCGCCATGAAACCAGCTGTTGCCTGTGCTATGCTTTGGTCGCTCAGCATCATTGTTATTGTATTACGAGACTCTCTGTGTGACATTTCACAGCACTGCCCCCCCCCCCCACACACACACACACTGTCAAAACTATTAATCGCCAATCACAATCCATCACTAACGCTCTTACCAACTGCACACAACTCTCCATAACCACATATAATAATCATTATAACCCTCCCAGGTCACAGCTGTTTTTCAATCCTTGTCTGTCTGTATGTTGAACTTCTTTAGCATCGTACATCGCCAAACCGCGCTAATCGGAGGTGCGTGGGGGAGTCAACAAACTAAACACACAAAAAGCAGTTCCAAAAAGACGAGTTGTCCATCTAGAAGGAGTTCCCCCGTACTTTGTCAATCGAGGGGGTAAACTGACCGTTCGTTTTGATTTAAAGCTTTCGTGACTGCAGTACTTCATATTCTTAGCTCTTTCGGTAAAGTCACGTTGAAGGGAAACAATAAAATAATAAAACATATATAAAACAAAATTCTCACGACGTTTCGACCATAACACAAACGGTCATCATCAGGTGACCGTTTGCGTTAAGGTCGAAACGTCGTGAGAATTTTTATTGTTTTATATATATTTTATTATTTTATTGTTTCCCTTCAACGTGACTTTACCGAAAGAGCTAAGAATATGACCATCCGTTACCATTCTTGTCTGTGTGGATTGGTGAAGGAGCGGTCCAAGACCAATTTGAATGTCGATCGACGATTATATTAGCCTTGGCCAGGAATCGAACTCAGGCCCTCAGGTCAACAGCGCAATGCGCCAATCACTGCGACGCTGCTATACCCCCACCCCCCAAAAACCACATTTAATATTTTATATGATTAATAATAAATATTGTTCGTGAATATCTGTCAAAGAAGGGCAGCTTATGATTACACGGAGACGTTCGTGAGAGTGGAAGCCAACGTACAGTCGGCCGCCACGTTCTATCCACTGCTGGATGAAGGCCTCGCCACATCGTCGCCATCCCTGTGCGTGAGCTGATCGCATTGCTCCCACTCCATGGTGGTTGTCATCTCACGTGCATTGCCCTCTTTTGAAACGATTGAAACATTAAACTATTTTTTTTTCATTTTACCACGAAAGGAGCTACACGTGCAGCTCCTTTTCAGTAGCGACCTGGCCACCATTGGCAGCTCAACGAAGTGGCTTATCACGTGGAAATGTATCGCAGACAAATGCTCTAAACGCGTGTTGTTTCTAAATGTGGTGGGGAAAACTCCCTCCCCTCGTCAACACATACACACACTGCCGCCGGTGTTTTTTTCCAGAGCTCGCTTTCGACTGGGTATTCAACGACTTCCCGATCACCGTGCAGTCAGACGGACGCCGCTTCGTGTCGCAGGCCACGGGGAACCTGTACATCGCCAAGGTGGAGAACTCGGACGTCGGCAGCTACACGTGCGCCGTAACCAACGTGGTGACGAGCACGCGAGCGCTGAGCCCGGCCACACCGCTCGTCCTCAAGTCCGGTGGTGAGCGAGGGCAACCCACGGGAGCACAACTTGACAGTTAAAAGTTTTACTTCTCTTTGATTATTTTTTTTCGCGAAGGTAAGGCCCTCCGAGCTATGTAGGTTTTTGTTTGTTTGTTTGTTTAGAAGCTACCTGGCCACGTGTGATAGCTCGACGGAGGGGCTTGTCATCACGCGGGACTACATGATTCTAAATGTGGAGGGAAAAGTCGGAGGACACGGAGACCAGTCAAAGTGACCATGGGGAGAGAGAGAGAGACATTCAAACTCCAAATATGCAGGCGTCAGGGTCGGAATTGAACCCATGAGCTCCTGTACACGAGGCGAGGTAGTTAACATCTCGCCACCGCAACCTAACGTCACTCATTTCCTGCTCTGAGTGTCCGCCACTGTTATTTAGTGTTCGTATTATGACACACGTTCACCCAGGGAAGCATCCACTGATTCTCAACGTTATATGTTCAGGAGGGCCCTGCTGTTTGGGATGTTTGGCCAGAGTACTCGGAGTAAACCCCACGCACACGAGGGGACAACACTCAACACTGCTTTCTCCTCACCGCCTCGCAGGCCCCAGCCTGCAATAACTTTTGAAGCCACAGGGATCACGCGTCCAAGTATTACGCGCAGACTCTAACCTGCTCAGCTTTTACCATCAGGTGCATTTTTCAGAAGAGTTTCTCCATGTTTTATGTTTTTCTTTCATGGAGCTACGTTGTTGCCTCTAACCCCATTTGAGTTTTGTTGCAGGTAACCTTTCGGCGTTGGGATGGTTTTTCTTTTCTTTCAATTACCAATCACATTGAATGTTACTTTTTAGCTATGGAAGTGGACGACCCGGTACAATTTCATGCAGACCAGGGGGGGATGGGGGGGGACGGGGGGGGACGGGGAGGGGACATACGGACTCCACAGAAAGGCACCCGAGTGGAGAATTGAACCAGGGTGTTCTGGCTGCGAGGCTAAAGTGGTACTACTGTGCCACCCTGACTGCAATCTGGGTCTCAAAAAAGCAGCACGGACCGGTAAAGAAAAGAGCAAAAAGCAATGCGGTGCTAATCTACATTTGCTACATTGAGCCCATGGTGGAAATTCCACATTCCTATGGCAGGATCAGTCATTTTTTATTGACACTCAAAAATATGAAGGGCTGAGATGGCCCCTGATTATGGTTGTGTGTCGATCGCTGTAACCACCATGTAACCTGAAAGGCACTTAAACATTGAATCAGTGACTAATGTTGGAAGCGATAGAAAGGAATGCCTTGTAATGCAGAACATTGCATGCCTGTTCAATTGGCCCTTCGGAAGGCGGGGCTGGTGGACCGTGATTGTGAGGGACCCCCCCCCCCACCCCCACCCCCCCCCCCACAGAGTAGCAAGGCGCCTGTATGAGGCAGTACAGCAAGTATGATTAAATTGCCTGCAGAGGTTGTTTTTTTGGCACTGTGGTGTCCGCCTGCATTCCAGAATAAACGATGACAACGCGGCCGAGTGCCCTCAAGAAAAAATGGTGATGATAATTTGTTAAGATTTCCTGGCAAAAATGAAATAATTATTATTGAACTACAGGAAATGGGAATTGTTTTTTTTTTTAATGGGTACAACTGACATAATTTGCCCTCCGTGCAAAATATACAATTTGTAGGAATGTATGAATGACATTTGCTTCGTGACAGCTTGTACCATTTGTGGTAACTCTCATCAGGCCATCAGCTTAGCTTCAGGATAAATACAATCCCATGTTGTCTTGTCTGAAGCTTGCATCTTCCAAAATTCTAATCTTTACAACAAAAAATCCCTCCTCAATAACCTCACCACCTTCAGTCTGTGTGCATGTGTGTACTAACCAAACATCTGCTGACCTGCATATAGCACTGCAAATATTGATTACTGAAAAGAGAAATGAAATAATGCATAAGACATACTACAGGGACATCCTTCAGGCCAGTGGCTATGCAAGGCAGCGAGGATATATATTTGTTTGCCACGTTGCAATAATTACACAAAAGTCTCAGGTGGGATTTTTGTTGTTGTTGTTGTTGTTGCAAGAAACATCAAATGCAAGTAAACAGGATTTCTCCACAACTCTGGCTGTCGCCTGATGTTGCTAGTTGCAATTACTGGCGAAACGTCGTACTCAGATTGTAAATGTTGTGTGTTTACTCTCCAAGACACCGGTGTTCTATACTAGCAACGAATTGGCATGTTTTATTTACTTGACAAACCCTACTAATTGACTGTGTGTCGGGCGGTGGCGGGTTGAACGACACCGTTACATTTACGCGATCTAACCCGAAGACCCCTACTGTGGATAAGATTTGTCTCGAAAGCCTACCGCCGGTACGTGTTAAGCTGCAACGCTTCGTTCTTAGTGACCTGGGCCGGTCTTCTCCGCAGGAATCATGGGTGAGTATGAGCCCCGGATCGAGGTCAGCTTCCCTTCGAAGACGCACGTCTTGAGAGGGGATATGGCTCGCCTGGAATGCTTCGCCCTCGGAAAGTAAGTCGGATTGGCTGGTGATTTCATTGGCACGAAAACGTTGTCGCGCTGATGTCGACCGTACGCTTAAAGGCGCAGCCCTGCAATTTTTAGCCTCGTGCCACCATTGGTGGAAGTGCCTCCAACTAGAGGGCGCTCTAGAGTCCCTCTTGGAGGGTATTTGGCCTACTCTTCCACACTGGAAAACGCGCTTGAAGCGGTAGGTTGGAGTACCCAGACTTTAGGCTATGTGCGACCTGCCGACGGACTAACTGTTGCAAACCCATTCATATCGTTGTATTCGGGTAGGAAACCTCTTGCACCGTTGTTTGAACTTCTGTGCTGGACAGAATGAATCAATCACGGGTTGTACAGTGAAATTGCTCCACTCTGATCTCACGCGGTGGGCACTGTGGGGCAGATCTTTAAAGGCACCTCCATTCGTGCTGCAGAACGAGGAACCAACATGGGCAATGTGATGCATTTGCCACCACTTCTGGGTGGCTCCTTTTTTAATTGTAAAAAAAAAAAAATACGAAAATAAGAAGCAACCGCTTTGCGGACGATAGACCTTTGGACAGATCTGTCCAGGATGCGGACATTTCAAGGATAGGATTATCAGGTAATCGAGATATACATAAGAAGAGTTCGCTGTGCTGTGATATTCAGTATACCATGGTGTATACCGAGGGCGTGCTTTGGGGTTGGGGTATCAGGGTGGTTGTTCAAGTCACGAAAGCTGTGAAGAGACACCACCAATCAACGTAGAGTTCAGTGAACGTTGTCGATTTTTCCACAAATATGATAAATAATTTGCACATTGAACGGGTAACACACGCACACACCAGAGTCGCGCGACAGCAAATACATTGCAACATGCAATACGATTATCGCCAGAGATTTATTGTCAAGAGGTGTTAAATGATCTGTTTGGCTGGGTGGTGTCGGTGGAGAAGCGGAGATTCGCCCCCCGCCCCCACCCCCGCCACATCATTCAACATATTGGCACGATTCGAGGTCATGATACGATTTGCGAATCAATTGTTATTTGTTTTGTACCATCGTCGTGGTTCAGTTAGGATCTATAAAGGCTGCAGGGGTAATGGGTGGCAGTGCTGGCCCACTGGGGGCCCAAAGGAGAACTTAATTTGACCCCACGTCCCCACCCCTAAGAAATACTGACACGAATTCAAGATAGGGATGAGTAATTGCCTTTTCCTCTCTTTATTCGATCATCGCATTTATGAGGATTTTTAATTGGAACTGATATTTGGTTCACCGAATTGGGTTTTTTTTCTCTCTCGCTCTCTCTCTCTCGTGAATTTCGGGGTCCCTTGAGCTGCTTGGGAGGACCCTGAGCGTCGGCTTAACTTTGCGAACGCCTCCAACGCCACCTCTGCCGCAGGACTTGGCAGGAATTAATGACGGGTGTCAAATGTGAACGGGAAGCAATCGATTCTCATGCAAACGCGTGCGTGCATTGCGAGCGCGAGAATGCATTTATGGTTCAATGAATTGATGTGTCATTACGTGCCGGCTATGGGACTGTGTACACTTCGTATAATTAGCACGTGAAAAATATATATACTGCATATTGCACCCATGCAACATGGCGTAATTCCGCGTATGAGTCGTGCCCAAAATATATTTTTGACAGCTCAAATACGGCATATGATTAAGATATTTGCATGATTCTTCTTCAGAGGACAAATGCCTGTGATTGTTATAAATGCAGGTCAACTGTGTATACTGTACTGTCTTATAATTAGGAGTCGAACGATGCCTCAATTCATGGATTAATATCAATGATCCTGCTGTTTTCATGAATTGATTATTTCCAATTTGTAGGTGTTGCATGGAATGGGTTAATGTGTCCCACACAGCCACTATAGGCACTATCATTCACCACAATCGTGACAATGCATCGTGGCTATTTATTAAATCGCTAAATGGGTAAATCGCGCAATCGATACTTTATGGTGCTGGTTAATGTACACAATTAAAGGACCAGAAGAACGCTATGTAGTCTCAAAACAAACATGTTGTCTATCGGGGCCAATTTCGCACATTTTAACACTTCCCTTTCATTAACAATTGCACATCAGGGGCCTTATTTAGAGCATCCCCAGGTTAGTTGATCACCAGAGTCGCTGCAGGTTTCGTCGTGAAGATATAAGAAGCATAATACGCAACAGTGCAAATAAATAAACAAACAAATCCCAAATTAGCTCATTATTCAAATAATTAATTTAACAAAGCCGTGAGCTGTGAGTTTGACTGATCAGCAAGGATTTCAGACAACAGCCACTTTCTATTATTAAAAATGCTAATTTCCGGATTAATCATGCCAATTAATCAACAATGACAGTTCAATATTAATCCCGACACAAATCCTTAAAGGTAGCATGGCTTTCACCATTGACTACGGTCTTGTAATTAGAATAAAAAATGTACATTGCGTGGTGTGCAAGGGATATCTGGCGAGGTGGAAATATGCTTACAACCATTCACACAACCTATCAATAACCCTCCAGAGCCATTAAACTAAGCGTCACTTTGTTGGTCATATAATAACGGATAGACTTGCTCTGAAAATGTGAATTTTGGAATGTCTACCGCTAACTTGCCAACCAAAACTCATCCGGCCGACGTTGATTCCATCAGGGGAGACACATTTCCCCCCCCCCCCCACAAATAATTACGCCAAACCGATAACACGATTGAGTTAGCTTTTCATTGTGAGCGCGCACACACACGCGAGCCCAAGTTGTCTGGCTTCGAACAAATGAAGGCGGTGAGCGGTACAGGCCGAAAATAAATAAACAAGTTAGCGGTGGCTTGAGTTACGGTGAGATGAATCGAGCGCAACAGCGGCGTTCCCCGTGGCCTTAAGGTAAAGCGCCGTCCTCATTTCATCCCCAGCCCCGTTCCCCGGATATCCTGGAGAAAGATCGACGGAGATCTGCCCACCAAGGTCGTGCTGTCCAAGTCGAACGCTGTCCTTGAACTCCCGAACGTTCAGCCAGAGGACACTGGCTCCTACGAGTGCAAGGCGGCGAACTCCGCCGGAAGGAACACGGCTCAAGGCAAGATAACCGTCTACGGTAAGGGATGCATCGGCTGCTCCGTCCGCCGACTGTGCGGCGTAGAATATCGTTTGTCTGTGCTTCTTAAGAACCAGCGGGGGGGGGGGGGGGGGCTTATGGTCGTGGTGGGGGTAGGAGCGTTTGTCGCGACAGAACAGCCCACGGCGCGGGACGGCGATCCCGGCACCACGGTCGTTCCTCACGGTCGTGCTTACGGACAGCGGGCACTGGGGAGATATAAGTGTGTGCTGCGAGTCCGAATGGTGGTGGGAGCGACAGGAAAATACACCACACTATGCCCGCGCTTTTCAAGCAAAAATTTGAACGAAAAAGTACGCCTGCACTGTCTTGTCAGTCGGGGATAATAATCGGGGCAATTATTTAAATGTTGGTATAATACGAAGTTAACTTGAAAGGTAAAGCAACGGCATATCACAAGCCACTGTCACGTTCAACTGGTATTAGATTTCGTCCACAACAGCCATATGCTAAAATGCAAATCCACACGATGTCAATGCAATGATTCCTATTCCATGTCTTTCTATGTGCATGGTGCATGTGATAGCAATTCACAATAATGTATAGTCCATTGGAAAATCCACTGCTGGATGAATGCTCCCCTGTGTATTTTGCTCTCTGCCGTTAGTTGACCATACTTCACCGCACTAGCGCATGCAAGTTTGGTGAATGGGGTGGTCCCAGGACCGATTCAGATGTCGCTCACCGCCGTTGGTAGCCACGGCTCGAAAAATGAGCTCAGGTCGCCAGGTTCATAGTGTGGTGCGCGAACCACCGGGTGCCACCGCTCTCTCTACCGGATGGTGCTAAGATAAAAGCCTTCACAGGGCACTTAATGGGCAAACGTTCTTTGGGGGGGGGGGGGGGGGGGGAGAAATAAATGCAGTTGGTCATGCGTGGCTTACAAACACACGCAAAAAAAAAATAATAGAACGAAACTTCCGGAGCGCCGAAGGCATTTTCATAATCCCAAATGACTTCGTGTCAATTTGTCGCATCAATGATGTCGCAAATTCTGCCATCGGGAACCCGCGAAGGGATTTGACTCCTTTTGGGCCGCGCTGCCAGGGCCCAGGCAATTTTGCCAATGGCTGCGCGGCGGGGATGCGTCAGGCTTGATGTTCACGTCATCGGGACGGCAGAGCAATCCGTGTCGGCAAACGCGACGGTTACCCGTCTCAGGAAGACGAAGAAGAGAAAGAAGAGAAGGGATGAACTTGCAACGTTCTATAATTTTTCATTTAAAAAAATGCATTGTCTATAGCAACAACTGAAATTTGTGGGATTTTTCTGCAGTGCACTGTGTGTCAAGGACGTGAGTGGTATATTTTAGTGGTGTATTTTAGTGGTGTATTTTAGTGGTATATTTTAGTGGTATGTTTTAGTGGTATGTTTTAGTGGTATTTTTTAGTGGTAATTTTTAGTGGTATATTTTAGTGGTATATTTTAGTGGTATATTTGAGTGGCATATTTTAGTGGTATGTTTCATGATAAAATTAAAATTGTATAGGAATATATAAAAAAGTACCAGTCCGCAAAATCCGTATTGGGCACACGTTCTTGTTATGTTGAGTACCTTAACCGTAATGTCATATTATTTTACGTTCTTATTTCGAATGAAACATCCGAAAAACAGAGAATCTCCTCTTTCAAGGACGTCAGGGAAATTGCTGCAGTTATTTAGGATGGTAGGATTCGCAGGGCTCTCGTGAGAAAGGAAAGCGGAGGGGCTGAAAATTCGGAATGTCCACGGATGAAAATTTCGCCCAACGTTAATCGGAGCCAAAGAGAATGTGATTTTATACCTTAGGGCGTGCAACACGTGGAAGGGAAGCGTACGGAAAATGAAAAGCAATTTAACGGTAACATGTAACGACGAAAGAGGACAAGTGCTGGATTTAATTTCGAGTGTCCACGCGAGCCTAAACTCACATTGTCAAATCTCTCGGTGTGAGCGCTCAGCGTGGGCTGGACGACAGTTTTACAATGTCAGCACAAACTCTAGTCTGCCATCTGCATGCAAGTGCACTTGTAATTCGACAACGATCGTGTTTTGAGCGCTTGGAAGTTAACATGCCTGAATCCACGTTCATAACGAGTAGCATGACAACAGGCACATTCTCTGAAATCTAAAACTCGACGTTATTATCAGAGGATGTATGTTCATGTTCAAGCGAGTGGAGCAGTGACGCAGTGGTTCGTGCGGAGCAATATGAACCCGGCGACCTGGGTTCAATTCTCAGCCGTGGCTAGCGTTAGTAGGGGGTGACATCTACACCAGTCTTGGGTCATCACATTTCATCAATCCACGCTGACAAGACTGTAATTAAGTCCGAACACCGATCATACGCAGTCATCTCTTTGCAATAACAAGTGTGGTGAAGTATGGTCAAACAATCCCCATTACTGGGATTGCATGTGGAGACTTTCATCGAGTGGTGAATTGATGAAGGGGTGCACATTATTATTGTTATTTTTACATGTTTACAGTATATATGTTTACACACGTGGAAAGTTTTATCTCGGAAATATTCAAGCAACTGAATATTTACATTCGCCATCAGTAAAGCACATAGACTGTGTTGCAAGTGCACAGGACATCTAAAAGAAACATGAATACAAACTAGTAAAACATAACTAGAAGGATGACGCATGTGGCCTTTGGTAACAGATTGCTTTTACACATCATAATCCCATGCAAACATTATGATTGTACAATAAAAAATAATAATGATTAATGTGGTTGTTATCATTGAGCTGAGTCGCTTCAATCCACTAATGGGCATGGACCTGTTCAGAAGAAGTTCAGCTCACACTCTTCTGACTTGACAGGTTAATTAATTTATCGCAGTTTCAGATAATAGCCCTTTCATACGCTTGCCTATTTAGCATACTTGCGAGAGTCCTGATTTTTTTGTTAACCATTCCAATTAAAAGAATCGTATGCTAAATTGATCAAATCACGTTACACGCGCGATGCGTTTGGTTGATAATAATGCCACGTCTGCGATACGACAAATAATGAAGGGCCCATGAAGACAGTTGCAAGTGTAGTGATTACGGCAGAGGAAAGCTGACGACTTGAGCATGATCCAGAGAGCTTTGCTGGGACTTGTTGAGAGACAGCGGTCCCTTTAATCCACCGTCATTAAAATGAAATGGCCAAGCGTGCTTTGGCAGGCAATCCGCTTTATATTACTTAGACATATGAAAGAGCAATGCTTTGATTCCTAACCCAAGGCAACGCACTTAATGGTCGGGCAAATTGGCGGATAGATCAAGGGCTGTGCACCCTAAATGGAGATGGCAGTCGATATACGCCAACATAGTGTGTTAATCGTGTGGATATTTCTCAGGCTAAAACAAAAGCTGACCGCTAATGTTCAGATTACATTTTTCCCTGCCATGGTGTGAAATGTTAATGTTAGAATACATTTACTTTCATATCTTCTGAAGACAAAAAATAAAACCCAACAGCAACAAATCAGCACGTGGGCAATCTGGTATATCCCGAAGGCATTTTTTTTATTTTTTATGGCAGATGTTTAAAAAAAAAAATCTGCATCATTGTCATCATCGGCAGCCCTTGTCAATCTACTGCTGGATGAAAGCCTCCCAAAACTGCCACCATCTACAATGATCCTGCGATGTAGTCAACCACTAAACACCTTCACATTTTTTTGATTTGCATGTGCAATCGTGTGTGGTTCACTTACACTATTTATGAACATCAATAAGTAATACTTTGCAGCACCTTTGTCAATCCACTGCTGGATGAAGGGCTCCCCATTCAATATCAACAGCTGGGGTTGTTTGAACGAACATCACCATGTTGGTCATTGTGAGTGACTCGAGAGAGGCGGCTGGGGGGAGGGGTGCTCAGGTTCGCTTCAGATATTTCTCACAATTATGCGAATCATGGGTGAGAATCAAACTCAGGTCGTTGGGCTTATCGCAGATTTGTGTTCAACATATTGTGCTAGGACTCCCACTCAAACCGTATTAAATAAAGTTGGAATTAAATTGACAGTTTTTTTTTTTACGTTGTAAAATCAGTCTGCTTTTACCGGGTTCGTAGCATAGTATACTAGACATTGCACCACCGCTCCCCTTGCATATATATGTAAATATAAATTTAACAGAAAATCTTTAAAAGTGAATTTCAGTTGAATATTTCTGACACGTATTATTGAATGCCATATGCCGTTATATTTACGCGCCTTTGTGCGTCCTTCCGTTCACCTGGCTGATGATATCGCCGTGAAACTTTACATAAATCAAATTTATAATGAAAAATGGAACTGCATCGACTTTACGGTGGGATTTAATGCAAAGCAATGAGCACGCGTCACGAGTCACCTTTCCGCGCGTTTCCAATGCGGTTCAGAGACATTTTGCGAGGTGGTTCTGGCAACCGGCCCCAGTGGGAGAGCGAGCAGCTCACAAATGGACAAGGGGGGGAGGGGTGGGGGACAAGTTCAAATTCTGGTCGGTGGTTGATAAAATGTGTACCACTTTGTGGGGGCAGTGGCGTACCCAAGGGGAGGGGAGTGGGGTGTGATTGGGGTCATCACCCTCCCTCCTCACCCCTTCAAGACCCCCGAATAGAATAAATATGTTTATATATTTGTTCAATCAATCTACAGTCCTATTTTTTTAAAAAAAGATGGTCCTTTGGATCCGCCTCTGTGTGGTGAAGTCAACATTTTATTGCCTCCTGGAAGGACTTGCCCCTGCCTGAGGCACGTGGAATTTCTTCAGCCGGCTCAAAGTTGTAAACAGCATCACTTTGACTTTTGAAAATTGTTGACACTCGTGCTGTGTAATACACCATCACATTGATCCCGCCGACACAGGTGTAACAGACCTCACGGTGGCATGACTACATGCGTCACAATAAATGGGATACCCAGAGGCGCTGCGACTGATAGCACCGACCGAACACGAGCATGAGAATGCCAGCAAGCTAGTGCAAAGACAAAGATCCCACCGCGTGGCCTGCGACTAGACTGTTGGGGCAAGTGCTGTTAGCGAGCACTTATGAAGGCCGGCATGGCACACGAGGGGGTGGGTGGCCAGCGCCACGCCCGGTCCCCTTCGTCTCCCTAGTGGCGATGTTTATACACCTTACCAGGTACTAATTTAAAGCTGAGTCGACCTAAGGGAGGTCCAGGACCGGTTCAGATAATCGTCACTGGTGTTGGCCGTGAGCGGGATTCAAACTCGGGTCGCCAGGTTTGCAGCGCAGCGCGTTAACCGCGACACTGCAAGCTAGTGTAGTGCATTGCTCAGAAGCAATGGACTTTACACACTGACCACATTGTGAATTTTGCCCAACTGAGTTTGCGTGACAATCGATCCCAAGTGCCCTTTGTCAACATTAAAGGAGGTCCCATTGGAGGCCGCTACTTTCATTTTTCACACCCATCATAGCAGGATTCTTCAACATTCCTGGTGTGAAATTGTAACTGCAGCAAAAGCTATGCTAGAGATGTAGCCATGCGTCAATTGGGTTAAGCCAAGGTTAGCGTGACATTGGTTGCAGGTGTGTGTTTCGTGATGGCTTGCTATCGGGGCCGCCTATGGATTAGCATGTGGCGTGCCACGAAAGAGTGCTCTCAAATTCACCAAAAATGACCACGCTGCCAAACCAAAATGACGACTGATTGTCACGTGATATTTACATTTGCTTGAATAACAATGCAGAAATACGATGAATAGAGCAGTGTGCATTGTCATGTTTAAATTTAACTTTAAAAAAAACAAGAGAACTAGAATTCAATCCAAAAGAACCGTATTACGAGCTGATGATATGTAACACATCTTAAAAAGGAATTATCCTAATTTGATTGATTTATTTTAACCAGCTGAGGCCCACCCAGTTATATAGCTCTTTTTCAGAAGCGACCTGGCTATCACAAATGATAGCTCAACGAAGTTTATCATGTGGGAATTTACCCCGGCCAAATACTATAAAACGCATATTGATTCTAAATGTGAAGGGAAAAACAGGGAGGACCCGGAGAAATATCCACGCGACCACAGGGAGAACACGCAAACTCAAAATATACAGACGTCAGTGTCGGGTTCGAATCCACGACCTTCTGTATACCAGGCGAGGTAGTTAACATATCACGAACAAAATTTCTTCTTCTTTGGTTCTTTCGGTAAAGTCACGTAGAATGAGAATAAAATAATAAAATAAAACAATAAAATTCTCACGGCGTTTCGGCCACAACACAAGTAGCCGTCTTCAGGTGAAGAAACAGGACTGTCCAGAAGACAGTGCTGTCTTCTGGACAGTCCTGTTTCTGTTTCTTCACCTGAGGACGTCTACTTGTGTTGTGGCCGAAACGTCGTGAGAATTTTATTGTTTCATTTTATTATTTTATTCTCATTCTGCGTGACTTTACCGAAAGAACCAAAGAAGATGAATCCTTGCAGTCACGAAAGCTTTAAATCGAAATTTAACAATTTCTTCATGAACAACTCCGGTCGGGTGGTCCAGTGGTAAAGTGAGCGGCTCATAACCAGAAAAATGTGAATTAAAATCCTGGTTGTGGCTGACTCAGCCCGTCATGCCTCTGGGGCCCATAAAATCAGTACCAAAGAGTGAGGAAATCAATAGTCAGTTTAACACGTCGGCTTTCACGATCAATATCATCCATAATAGAGGTTTTTGGGTTAGATCGCGTAAATATATAAATGTGTCGTAAAGCCCCACCACCACCCGACACAGCCAAGCCAACACACACAACCGGTGTGCTGTACTAGTGACGAATTGGCCACGTTCTGTTTACGTGACAACCCTTACTAGTTGGCTGTGTCGGGTGGTGGATGGTTTTAACGACACATTTATATATTTACACGATCTAACCCAAAAACCTCGATTATGAAATCAATAGTGGTTGTGCTATGGCTAGACTCGAGTCCGCCATAGGAAGGTTGAATTTCCACCACGTGCTTAGCTGCTGACATTTGGGGATGTTCCTGGCTCAGTGCTTATTTGAGCAGGAAATCATTTTGACTTTTTGACAAACACCACTAAAAGGATTTTGCATGCTCCACATCTCTATAGCCTAAGCAATGTTACAGTTTGTTGCATTAATTTTTGCCTTGTCAAATTAAGCAGGAAGAAGCTTGTAAAAAAAAAAATCATAGTTAAATTGAATGATGTTAGTAAACTATTTGAGAAAAATCCTTCATGACAGGCACCCTGGGATCCCAATAAAGTCTTGCCAAGGCATCAGTTCTCACAACTGCTCAGCTGTTGTTTGACGTTATCCTCTGGCAAAGTGAAATGTTTCCCATTGTTTTTTTTTTAACTCACTACACGTTTGAATAATGCTTTTTTGGTAAAGAATAGTATTTTATTTTTCTCGAAATATTTCGCTCACAGCCTCAATAATCTTCCTTTGCGTAATGCTATTGAAGTATTTCTATTCACGTCAACATATTTAACTCGAACCATTCTTTCCATAAAATAACAAATAAAGTTATTTGTATTCTCAAAATTCGTTCAGACAACACCTCTGCGAGACAGACGTAAAAGTGACTTATATTTAATAATGTTCTGAATAAAAATTGCACAATGCTCTTCGATATTCACCGCGCTGAAAAACGTACGCTAACATTACAGCGCATTATTACATTTTGTGGAAAGGAAAAGCCAGTTAATAGCACATTGTGCGTAATCGTATTCATGATTGCAGCTAAAATCAGTCATAGAATTTAATTAAGTGATAAAAATATGTCATGGGAATTGAAACCGCGAAACTTCAGATTGCGTTAACATTTGTGTTAGCAAAAAAGTATTCACAGCATGGCATATATAGCGTGTGTATATATTTCTACGAATTATTTATTCAAACCTTTCTTTTAAATATTTGAATCGGTGCTTCTTTAAAGTAAATTTATCATCACATGGCATTTTGAAACGACAGAATTACAATTATAATGTATATAAGTTCGCAAACCACGGAAACATTTCAACGGGAAATATTTGTTTTCTTTTACAAGGATAATCAATGGGAATATCAATATAAATGTATTTTTTCATGACACAAGCACCCACTTGTACACAGCTTATAATATCATGTTGAACCAACGTATAACGTTCTATAATTGTTCATGTAAACATGCCTTGTCTATAGCAACAACTGTAATTTGTTTTTCTGCAGTTCACTATCTGTCAAGGACTTTAATTTAATAATGTGGCACATTTATGTCCAATATAAAAAAGTGTAAAGAATATATATTATGAAGTACCATTCCACAAAATCCGTATTGGACACACGTTCATCGTATGTTCAGTATCGTAACCGTAATATGTTATATAAGTTGACATTCTTATTTCCAATGAAACATCCGGCAATACGTCCTTCCGCTTCCATTTCAGTCATACTGCGAGCTTTATGGCTCATGCCAATATCACCACCACCATCATCACTATCACCACCACAATCATCACCACCACCATCATCGCCATGATGGTGGTGATGGTCATTATGAGTGCGGTGTTCATTAAAAGCGCTGGTCTCAAGTGTTTTAATTTTTATTCCACCAGCTCCTCCACAATGGCTTGAGCCAATTAGCGATGTGGAGCAAGGCCTGGGAGACACGCTGCAGTGGGAATGCAAGGCCACAGGCAAACCGCAGCCTGCATACAAGTGGATGAAAGATGGGGTGCTTGTGGGCGCAGAGGTAAGCTTTTTTGCACTCTGTCTCCACATGTAAATCATCAAACAGGCCTGTACATCACTAAGCAATTCAGTTGCGATCTACCGCTGCTTGAGTTATGATTTTTAAAATCCTTCCCTTTTTTTTTTACTCATAAATTCTATCCATAACTCGAGCAACTGAATTAAAGTTGCCTTTGACCAACTCTCGCCCCATGTAGCCCGGTGTGCACAGTAAGTGCACTGTGAACCGCGGGTTATAGAACAAGTATAATTATCCGACTGCATGCCAATAGCCCACGTATAGCAAGTGAAACGTGCTTTTTTTTTTGTTTCTGGAAAAGTTACTTCAAATGAATTTCTTGAAATGAATTTCAAGTGAGCACTTCACAAGTGGGAACGCTGTTGATAAGTTATAAGGAAATAAATGCCTTCAGAAGATGTGATGTTTCTCTGAAATGTTATTTTAAAATGCGTGTTTGTGGAGCGTGCATGATTCAGTGATTGAAAAAAGAAGGATTTGCTTTTCATGTTGTTTTCGCATGAGCACCAGGGGTGACTTTGCCTTTAACTGCTGAGGGTCACACTGTAGGGCAACTCAAAGTCTCATCACTCCATTAACCAGATGAAGTGTAACATTTTCAACAAAAACCCGGCCCCCGTCTTTTTATCCCGTTAAAATAAACACTCACCATGTCCTTCAGAAAAGTGGGCAACGTGATGTTTAATCATGCGACGGATGAGAAGCCAACGTTCTTGGCAGGAAGCTTCACAATTAATCCACTCTCAATCTGACGCTTTATTGGATGCAGGAAAGAACAAAAAAAAATTGACAAAAAAAATTGACAAAAAAAAAACATAACCCTTCAAGTTGCCTCATTGTCGTCGTCGTCGTCATGATCTTCCCCGATCCCATGAAGCAGCCAATTACACTTTCTTAAAAGTAAAAATCATGTTTTAAACGTGCGTACGTTTATCTATGTCGCGTGCTCTTCTCTACGTGTCCCAGCGTAATCCCCAGCGCATCTCTCCATGCTTCTTCTTGAGATAAAACAACTCTTCTCTTCAGACACAGTGATGTTTCGCTTTTCATCTTCAAGTTCAAATTTACAAAAGATGTCACCGACCCGACTCTCTCATTCACCTCTTTATTTCATCATTGCTCTGTCCCCCTCCAATAACCACCCTAGGCATTCGTATTGCACTGTGTTTTCCAGCTGAATTCCTCTGGCAGATAGCATAGACTTGAGTATATTTGGCAAATGTGTATAATTAAAAATGTGATGCTTTGACCCATTCAAATTACATCAGAAGTAATTTTGTAATGAATGTATCCAAATGCCTTGGATATTGTGTTTGTAACTTTTTTCTCATGATGCAGTTCTGCCTTCAAAGTTGATCTTTTTTTATTGAAATCAACTTATTTTTTAGGTGTTTGTTTGACATTACAGGTTCACCGATAGGACACTGCTCATATATTCATTTACATCTTTTCATTTGTTATCTTTTTCAATAATGCCTCGGATTTTTGCGTGTATTGCCCCACGTTTGAAAGTGCGGCCATTATTTCTGCCCCGTCTCCCTCATCTGAAGAAGGCTTATTGCCAAATCTATCAGCCTGTTATGCATATTTCTGCTGTACGGCAGTGTTGTAGAAGTACGAAAAAAGTTTCACATAGAAGAAGACCCGATGCAGGCAGCAATAGGAAGGAAATTGGAAGGAACTTTAAAGAGAAGAAGACCTAAAAGAGAATGGCTTTACGATGGTATGAGAGATTGCTGCCAGAGAGATCTGAACTACTTGAGCATGTTGATACAAGACAGAGAAAAGTGTAAACAAATGACGAACTGTGCAGAGGACACCTACGGGTTATCTGCCGATCAATCGTGATGATGATGAAGGCAGTATTCATCACGAATGCAGAGTGTGTCTATCATTTTGATTACGCACATGAATAGACAACGCCCATACATCCACTTGCTGTACTATATCGTGAAAAAAAACTTTACTGACATGCCGTAACATGTAAAGGCTTATTTTCTGAACACATCCACAGCGGGAATCGCCACTGTACTGGATAAAATAACAAGTAGCTTTGCAATATCTGTGCGCAGCACAGCCAATGCAATCCCACAGCAGTTCACTCATGTTGGATTATTACTCACGCAGCGGAGTGTAAATGCTGTTAACATGACGGGGAACAATTACAATCTGGTTGCAGCACTAATATTCATCTGTGATTCCTATTTGGGTCTTACATTGCCGAGGCACCGCCAGGGCTGGATTCAGGCCACGCCAGGGCTTAAACCAGGACGGCATTTTGAGCCCTTGTCCTGCACATGCTGTGAGCAGAGCATGCCCCCTTGGCAACTGGCTGCAATATTCGTTGCTTAATAGTACCCGTGTGAACGGTCCGTGTCTAGCGCTGGGCTTATATTCACAGCATGTTGTAGTGGGGGATGGTCTGGAGCCAAGCCGTTGTGGGCACATCTTGAGGGCTGGGCTGAAGGCCATGGCATATGCATGTGTAATAGATAGCCTGTGATGGCAGTAGTATGCAAGATGAGTCAATTTTATAAGAGGTTCAGTGGAGCTCAAATTCTGTACTTTTTTCATTTGAAAATTTGGATTTGAAGAATATATTACAAATTAGCCGCGAGCCCAAAACATGTAGTTCCAATGGCAAAACTTCGTAACAAATAGCATTGTAGGCAGGACATGCTCTCTTTCATCTTACATAGATATAAACACAGCACAAGTAGTGAAATATGTTTCTGAATACAAACACCCATCCTGGGTGCAAATCATCACTTTCTGAAATCTGTAGCACCTTGTTTTTTTTTTGTAAAAAAAAAAGGGACCGAGCCGCTTGCCACAGCGATCTCCAACGATCGCGTGACACTTCGCCAAATGGGTCGGCAATGTCGGATGCGTCGTGCGTGCACGATTACGACGTTACATAGATCAAGTGTCGGACGTACTGCTGCTTGCGTTGGCTTCTTTCCAGGGAAGGGTGCGCGTCTTGGAAAGCGGCGATCTCATCGTCGGCAACGTGAAGCCGTCGGACAGAGGAATGTTCCAGTGCGTCGCAGAGAATAAACACGGACGCATTTACTCCAGCGCCGAACTAAGGGTCAGAGGTAACGCGTTTATTTATTTTTTTTACCCGCTTTCAAGGCAGACCGGCCATCAATTTTAACCTGTAATTGTTACAAATTCCGCGCAGCAAGCAAATGTGTTTTCGATACGTAATGAAGTGTCTTGCCGGCGAGAGGATAATAAAAAAATGAATTCGCATGCAAGTGTCAGCTCTGAAGAAAGCAATGTTGGTAATAAATGCTGCGTGGGTCAACGATGATAGCCGTTAGCCCTGATAAAATGTGCACGGCATGCAGTGCATCCTGTGCACACATTCATACGCTTTAGGGAAACCACGTTTTTTGTATCGATGTCATCGGATGCATCACGTTGGCACCTAAAATCATGCCAAATTGATCCCCCCCCCCCCGCCAAACTAAAAAATAACTGCACTTCCGGCCGACGGTTTGAACGTGGTCCATTGTGCTGTCATTATTTATACAGTTTGTTATTAACAAGCCAGAAGATAAATAGACCTGTGCACTTAATTACGTATAAAAATCTGTCCACGCGTATTTATAGCCCTTGCCGGGGGAAGACATTCATCACGGATATTGGAGGCCTGGTTAATAACGCCCGTGATGTTTTCCGGCATAAATCACCGCACCCTCCGCTGAGCAGAAAATATCACGAAAGGTGAGGTGAGATGGGGTGGGGGGAGCCGGTGGGTGGGGGGGTGGGTCCCTCCGTAATAAGACATCACACCGAGACGACCGCGACAGCGTCGTGACACTCCGTGTCGTGTCTCGCACGCGCTCGTCCACGTGAGCATCATTTCTCTCCGCTTTTTCTCGCCCCCACCTCCGCCCCCCACCCCACCCCCTCCCCGATCCTTCTCTGTCCTCAGCGTCGCTGCCAGATTTCAAAAACAATCCCGTGCCCAGAATCACTCCGGCGGCTCGGGGCGGACAGGCTGTTATTAAGTGCGAGCCAAGAGCGTGGCCCAAGCCCACCTTCTCGTGGACCAAAGGAAACGCTCTCGTCCGCCTCGGAGAAAGGTGCGCTCCGTCAAAGTCCGCTCTGATCTATGGTCCCGCTGCAGGTTCCCCTTCTGGCAGTGGTCGGTAGGGCGTTACCCCCGCTCCCCCGTACCCCCCCCCCCGGTGATTACCGAGGGGATCCTCCCTCCCCCGTGGAAGCGTGTGCGTGTTGACGTTGCGAACGTGCGCATTGCCCGTCCGTTTGCGCCCGTTCGCAAGCGGATAATCCTGCCGACGTAGGGGATTTTGAATGTGACCTCGGGGCGCGCGCGCGTGCGTGCGCATGTGATTGTCGCACACCTACTAACCGTACTATTTTATGCAAACATTTCATTGCGCTGCAAGCTTATTTGATGAACACGTTTATGGCGGGCATCTCCACTGTACTCGACAAGATAATGATATATTTTCTGCACGTTGCAAACACACTGACCATTCTTCACCACGCTGGTAAGTGTGGGTTCTGGAAGATTCAGATAACACTTGTCACATATGTTGACCACAGCCAGGAATCTAACTCGTCGGGTTAGTAGTGTAGTGGACTAATGTAAAATTGCACTAAATAACACTTAATACACGTTTATCCAGCATGTCATTTTGATATGTGTGAAGTCATTACTTTATAACGAGTCGAAACAATACACAAATTGGTGCTATGCTCTTACTGAAACAATCTAGCTCAGCACTGATGCGTACCATGCCTGAGGATGAAATGAAGGTTGCTGGTTAAGTAACAGTGCACGAACCACAATGCCATCGCTCTTTCCAAATAATATACCAGCTTGCATCAGTGGAAACTGCTTCGTTCCTCATTGGTGAATTTGCACACTAAGTGAACATCTTTCGACTTAAATCAAGAATCCTATTCACTCATTTTAATTTCTGCAAATGCAAGAGGATTGAAACTCGAGATAAGCGGAACGGCCCGGCTTCCTCTATAATTGAGATATGAATAATAGAAGCGGTGGAGTGGTGGTATGGTCCTTTTCACACGGCACTGTAAAGCCAGTGACTGGAGTTCTCAACTAAAATGTTAACTGAACTATTTGCATTTACCAGGTAAGGCCCACTGAGCTATACAGCTCGTTTTCAGAAGTGACCTGGCCACAAATGATAACTGAACTTAGTGGCTTATCACGTGGAAATTTAAATCACGCAAACACTTTAAACGCATGCTTATTCTAAACGTGGAGGGGAAATCCGGAGGACCCCCCACGGGGAGAGAGACATGCATTCTCCAAATATACAGGCATCAGGGTCGGGATCGAACCCACGACCTCCTGTAAATCAGGCGAAGTAGTTAACATTTTGCCAGTAAACATCGGTCGTGCACGATTTTGTGTACCCCAGCTCCTGTTTCTCATCAATCTGCATTGTCGAGCATGGTGAAGTAAAGTGACACAACCCCCAATGATCGACACACCGTGGCGAGGCCTTCATCCAGCAGTGGATTGACAACGCACCTCAAATTAATAATAATGTATAAAACACACCGAGATAAGGCCATACAACCAGTCAATGTTAATGTCAAATACAGAGCAAACCACTCCTGAGACACCCATCCACTCCCGGTTGATCCCATGTTAATGTATTCTTTATTGGGCTCAAATGCTCCAAAACCGCTCCTGCATGTGAAAACAGCAGAACTAAGGTTGTTGAAAATAACCACCCACGCTATTGCACAGACACGGAAGGGTGTCTTGTAACCTCCACGCGTCTCATTTACTGGGGACACAGCCTTTAAGGAATGTCAAATGTTACCTCGTATCCAGAGCCCCCTGCAAAAGACTCGTGTTCCAATTATACGCAACAGTTTGAGATAAAAAAATAGCCTCGGAAACTTCGTTGTGCATTATAATGAAGTCACCATGTGATGATGATGATACAGGTCAGGAAATATTTTGAAAATTTTAAAAAGTTAACCTTCACAATTTGTAAGAAAATATGTGGATAATGGTTATTAGTTCAGAAAATGCATATTACTGACTTTTAAAAAAGTGTGAGCAAAGTGAAACACGTTTTTATAATTAAAAGTGTGGTAAAAGGATTTTATTGTTAAAGATAATATTTGATAATAATAATAAAAATACTGGTTAGTGAAGGGGCAACTATACAGCAAATTCGATTATTGGAAAACATGAGTCTATTGTCAAAGACACACTGATAAAAAAAAAAGTTTAATTAACTCGGTTAATTTAATTTGGTCCACTGGGAAATTATTATTTTAGAGAAAATGTTGTAATATCCTCTTTTTATTTTTGGTTCAGTATGTTTTAAGACTTGAACATATTCCTGCTAGTTCCTTTGGGCCTCAACGCAAATAATTACCAATACAAAACGTATAATTAATTCTACTTTCACTGCCAATAATAATGCAAATATTTTTCTTTAATCTCTCTATGAAATGACTGCACATTCATTTAATTGCCACTGAGTCTAAGATCCGTTCTTTCAGGAGGGTCCTGCATTGGTGATATTTGATCAATTCAATTGTTTTGTTTTTTTTTTCTTTTGTATTACGTTGCAGCTGTCTTGAGGTCAATGCCAATACGGCACAGAGGTAAAGGCGCAGCCCTGCAATTGCTTGCTCAACACTGCAGGCAGAAGGGCCTCCAACTGCAGCGAACTGTAGAGGGCCGTCTTCAGGGAGACCACAATGCTTGCTCAGCAGTGAGCTTGCATCGAATCATTAACTAGAATCAATTCATTGGATTGTACATGAACGGTATCAAGTGAGGGAGAACCAATTACGTGGCGTTTTTTATGATTTATGCAAAATTTTTAAATGAAAATGAGAAAGAATCAAAGCTACATAACTACCGAGACAGTAAATATGAGATATAAAAAAAACAATTGATTTTTTTTATTGTATCATCGTGATGAATCATTTAGTCATGAGCGGGTGCATCTTTGTGTTTAGCAGTTATTTGTTCGTGTTAAAAATGCCAGAGTTGTAATGTTCTGAATGACATGACAAGTGAAGCAATATTTGCTATTGTACATTGACTGTTTTGTACTAATTACCATTTCGATTTACTCATACACAATAAATCATAATGAAATGCAAACATTTGTTTTACACGATCAAATAATATTTTCAGCCACTGCATACATTTTCTTGGGTCTTCACCGTCACCCCAGGCTTAAAATCTTTAATTATCAATTATGAATAGACAATGATTGGGCATAATCAGATGCAATGATTTCCTTACAATCTAATTATCATTGAGATCGTGTCCAATTTTTAGTGATGTGGGGTTGATCTCCTGAACCCAGCAGCTTGCACGGGTCGAGGATCGTGCAAGTTATTGTTGACTTGAATCTTTAACTATTTAACTGTTTGATATTTTACCAGGTGGGGCCCACTGAGCTATATAGCTCTGTTTCAGAAGCGACCTGGCCACAAATGATAGCTTAACTAAGTGGCTTTTCAAGTGGAAATGTGTAGCAGCCAAATTAAATAAGGGCATGTTGATTCTAAATGTGGAGGGAAAAACTGGAGGACCCAGAGAAAAGTCCCCACAACCACTGGAAGAGAAACATGCAGACTCCAAATATACAGCAGCAGGCGTTAGGGTTGGGATCGAACCCACGACCTCCTGTATACCAGGCGAGGTAGTTAACATCTCCTAGCCACTATGATGATGATGAGAGAGAGAGACGCAACTCTAAATATACAGCAGCAGGCGTCAGGGTTGGGATCGAACCCACGACCTCCTGTATACCAGGCGAGGTAGTTAACATCTCCTAGCCACCGTGATGACGATGAGAGAGAGAGAGACACGCAGACTCCAAATATACAGCAGCAGGTGTCAGGGTTGGGATCGAACCCACGACCTCCTGTATACCAGGCGAGGTGGTTAACATCTCCTAGCCACCGTGATGATGATGAGAGAGAGACACGCAGACTCCAAATATACAGCAGCAGGCGTCAGGGTTGGGATCGAACCCACGACCTCCTGTATACCAGGCGAGGTAGTTAACATCTCCTAGCCACCGTGATGATGATGAGAGAGAGAGAGAGACACGCATACTCCAAATATACAGCAGCAGGCGTCAGGGTTGGGATCGAACCCACGACCTCCTGTATACCAGGCGAGGTAGTTAACATCTCCTAGCCACTATGATGATGAGAGAGAGAGAGAGACGCAACTCCAAATATACAGCAGCAGGCGTCAGGGTTGGGATCGAACCCACGACCTCCTGTATACCAGGCGAGGTAGTTAACATCTCCTAGCCACCGTGATGACGATGAGAGAGAGAGAGAGACATGCAGACTCCAAATATACAGCAGCAGCAGGCGTCAGGGTTGGGATCGAACCCACGACCTCCTGTATACCAGGCGAGGTGGTTAACATCTCCTAGCCACCGTGATGATGATGAGAGAGAGAGAGACACAGACTCCAAATATACAGCAGCAGGCGTCAGGGTTGGGATCGAACCCACGACCTCCTGTATACCAGGCAAATTTGTTAACATTTCGTCAACGTGACGCCCGTTTGCTACACTCCACGTTGCTATCAGCGGCTATCAATGCTGTTCTGCTAACTGCCGCAGATACCATGACAAGTAGACATTTAAATATCCATCTCTTTGTTGAGATTGATTGCTCCACCCACGCTACTACATGCATCAATCATGCGTGTGAGAATCTATTATGTACAATTTCATGAAATAATATCCGGATTATATGTTTTCATCAAGTGGTGTACGATGCACTAATTTTACATTTCAGGCATTTCAAAAAAAGAAAAACAAAATCGGACAATACAAATGAATCTATAAAAAAAATGGGACAGGTAATACATTGATATTAAATCGAATCGCGAATCCGAATTGTGACGATTCCTTGACGTTCTTGCGGTGGATGAGGGGGGTAGGGGTGGTACTGACCTAAGTAATTACATGACCAGCTGCTAATATTGAATGGTAAAAAGAAAGTGCTTGAATTGAAAATATCGTTTGCGAACGTGACTGGCCAACCGAACCAACGTGTTTTCTGCTAGGATAAGCATACTGGACAATGGAAGCCTCTGGATCGAGAGAGTCCTGGAGGGTGACGAAGGTGGATACACGTGCACAGCTGAAAACCAACTTGGAAAAGCCAGCAGCACCGGCTACCTGGATCTGAAAGGTATTTGACTATCATCACAGCAGTCAGCCGTCGGAATGCACTTGGATGTTACCGAACACCTGGAGATGTTTAAATAATCTTTAAATTGCAGTCGGCAAGCTCAAAAGTCAAAATTCGGAAGTGGGGTTGCTCTAACGACACACAGGCACCTGCCACTGTGGTGAAACACTGACCACGGAACGGCTGCTTTTGACCTGAGCCACGCACCGTCGAGGACCTTGCCAGGGCTACAGACCAGACCATTGTCATGAGTCTGATACTGGGAAAACCTATGACTGTGGTGGTAGGATACGGGGAGAAGACCCGCTCACTCACTCACCCCTTCCAACCCAAGAGGCCCCATCCCCCACCAATACTACAGAGACGACTATCTCCTTTCAGGAGGGAGAAGTTAATAGACTTTTCAAGAGGCAGAATCCACGCAAAGCAGCCGGGCCGGACTCTGTCTCTCCAGCCACCCTCAGGCACTGCGCTGACCAGCTGTCTCCGGTGTTCACCAACATCTTTAACACCTCCCTGGAGACATGCCATGTACCAGCCTGTCTCAAGTCCTCCACCATCATCCCTGTGCCCAAAAAGCTAAGGCCAACAGGACTAAATGATTACAGACCGGTCGCCCTTACATCTGTGGTAATGAAGTCTTTTGAGCGCCTGGTCCTGGCACACCTCAAAGCCATCACAGACCCTCTCCTGGACCCCCTTCAGTTTGCCTACAGAGCCAACAGGTCTGTGGACGATGCAGTTAACATGGCCCTCCACTTCACCCTACAGCATCTGGACGCCCCAGCATCCTACGCCAGGATCCTGTTTGTGGACTTCAGCTCTGCCTTCAACACCATCATCCCTGCCCTGCTTCAGGACAAGCTCTTCCAGCTGAACGTGCCATACACCACCTGTAAATGGATCACAGACTTCCTGTCTGACAGGAAGCAGTGCGTTAAGCTGGGAACACAAGTCTCTGGCTCCAGGTCCATCAGCACCGGAACTCCTCAGGGCTGCGTCCTTTCCCCTCTGCTCTTCTCCCTGTATACCAACAGCTGCACCTCCAATCATCTGTCCGTCAAACTATTGAAGTTTGCGGATGACACCACCCTCATTGGGCTGATCTCTGGTGGGGATGAGTCTGACTATAGGTGGGAAGCTGACAATCTGGTGACCTGGTGTAGCCAAAACAACTTAGAGCTAAATGCTCTAAAGACAGTTGAGATGGTTGTGGACTTCAGGAAGAATACAGCACCACTCACCCCCATCACCCTGTTAGACTCCCCAGTAAAAATTGTAGAGTCCTTCCGCTTCCTGGGCACTATTCTCTCCCGGGACCTCAAGTGGGAATTGAACATCAGCTCCCTCACCAAGAAAGCTCAACAGAGGATGTACTTTCTACGGCAGCTGAAGAAATTCAACCTGCCAAAGACAATGATGGTGCAATTCTATACAGCGATCATTGAATCCATCCTCACCTCCTCCATAACCGTCTGGTACGCTGCTGCCACTGCCAAGGACAAGAGCAGACTGCAGCGTATCATCCACACTGCTGAGAAGGTAATTGCCTGCAATCTACCGACCCTCGAGGACCTGCACACGACAAGGTCTATGAGGCGAGCGAGGAAGATTATGGCCGATTTCTCCCACCCTGGACACTCTCTGTTTCAGCTACTCCCCTCCGGCAGAAGGCTTCGGTCCATCAGGACCAAAACCTCACGCCATAAAAACAGTTTCTTCCCATCTGCTGCTGGCCTGTTAAACAAGGCCAAGGGCTAACACTGTTTTTAACATTTGATCTACATAACGACACGTTGCTGATATTAACTATGTTTCCCTATTTGTATTTTTTAATTATATCTTAAAGCTATTTTATATTCGATATTTATTTAATTTTATATACTTCAGCCCCTTAGTGTTAGACTTTTAACCCTTATTATAGTAAGACTTGTTTAAAACTTATTTAAGATTTTAGATTCCTATATGTTGAATGTATGCACCATCCTGCCAAAGTAAATTCCGTGTCGGTGTGAACTTACATGGCGAATAAAACCCTTTCTGATTCTGATTTATTCACCCGCCCGCCCACCCACCCACCCACTCGCCGACTAACTCGCCCATACACTCACCTGCGCATGTGCCCCGTGTTAAAAAATGCTATGACTGTGGTGGTGCAGTAGGAGTAGAAGAATCTCAATCATCCGTCCAATTGTGCTGCCACAACAAAAGGCGACCGTTTATTTCAATTTAAAAGTAACATTCACAGTTTCAGATTCAATGTGTATTTTCCCCCTTTGAAACCTCAATTGTGGTACCAGAGATCAAGTAAACGTGACCATTTTCGTCACCGTAATTTGAGCGGCAGTGCTTCTTTGTAGCAGAGTAAAAAAAAAATGTTAACGATTACAACAATGCGGTTTATATTGTGGTTGCATATTACTTCCAGTACAACTAAAGCAGTTGTGCATTTATTGACTTATGATGCAGCCGAGTGGCTTAGATCGCCAAAGTCAAATGAAATATTCAAACAAGGAAAAAAAATATATGAATCACCAATGTAACCAACTGCATGTATTGATGAATGCGCAGTTAATGTTAGAAAAGCAAACAATGTAGAGGTCGCCGGTTGGATTGGATCTCCCGGTGCAGCAGTTGAAACAATGGGCAATGTTGTCGCCTCTACCCACCCGGCAGTACACATTGGGCACACCGCGTTAAGTTGGCCAGCAGGTCGAGGGCGGTGGGGTAAAGTGTGGGTACTTCCACCACTTCGAAGACATGTGGCCAGCCTGGAGGAGTAGACCGAACACCCTCTTTGTAGAGAGGCTCGCTTAGAGCTCCATCTGGTGGAGGCTCTTCCGCCAGCGGTGGTGTGAGCGAGCGGTTGCTGGGCTGCACCGTTGGCTTAACACGTAGGCTTTCGCGACCAATATTATTCATTAATAACGATTGCTTGAGGTTAGATTGCATGCATAAATATAAATGTATCCCAACACAGCCAATTAACAAGGTTTGGCACGTAAACAAAACGTGCCAATTAGAGAGTACACCCACAACGTTTGACGATTTAAGAGCGACGTTTCGCCAACGAATACGACCATCTCCATCAGGCGATTCGCCGGATTTGTGGAGAAGTCTTCCCGTTTGCACGTGATGCCAACATACTTCAACACAGCCGCAACCTACTCAAGAGCAGAGGGGGTCTTAAATGGCAGTCGATATTAAAAAAAAAACCCTTACCCTGAGTCTCAGTGTGCACGAAGGGAAATATGACACGTGCAAACACGACATGTATTCATCGCAATGAAAATTGCTATTGTATCCAATAAAACGTGTTCCCTGAGTAATATGGCAATTTTAAATAAAGCTCCGCGTGTCGAAAGCAAAATCCATTGATACTCCTGAGATTCGTTTTGACTGTCAGCTGCTGCGGAAATATTGGCACATCTTTAAAATTGCCATCAAGCAAATGTGATAAATATTCAAATGTCACGTGTAGTGGACGGTTTTCCGATTAATGAGCAGAATTTAATGATATGGTTTTGATCGTAGCAGAACAAGATCGACAATTTAACTCTTGAAGTGTCGTACCTACAGTGCTCGACTGAATACAGAAACGATCACCCAAACAAAGTCAAAATGCGTTACGATAATGAGGGCTTCCTCACACTGCATTGATCATGGGGGATGTTCGACTGAACGTCACCGTGCTGGAAGGCTGGTAAATAGGTCAAATAAAAATATTCCACAGCCATCCTCCTACGAAAACAAGCAAATGCATTATATATAATACTGAAGTCTGTCTGTGAGTACGCCTACAATCCTTGAGGTCACATTTGTGCCCATATATTTCTGTGGAGAGGAACCCGCAGCATCCCTAAATAAAATAACACAATCATAGGAATGTTCTCTGAAAACCAATTTATTTTGTAGATCCCCATCCAATTAAGCAGAACTTTTAGAACACGCGTTGCACAATTTTCGAAAGACAACTGAACATTTGTCCATGACAACGAGTTGAGGATAACTAGCCTCGAATGTGCGATGCATTGCAGCAACAGCAAGAATACCGTAGTCGTGGTCCATCTAAAGTGCCCCCACATTGTTTTGTATTGTCACCCTGGGCATTAGAACCGGCCACTTCTGGATCGCAACATCCAGTATGTTAAACCATCACAACTTTGCAGCACCCCTACACGTATTAATTTACAAAAAAAATAGATATGTTTGTCATAAAAAAATTAAATGCCCCGGGCCTTTCCTGCTAACCTACTCGACCATTACGAGCGCGCGGACAAGCACAGGCGTTTATTAGTATAGTTGTTACGCGCTGGACATGCAGCATCATATATCCTACTTGCTGGGGGGCTGAGGTTATAAGTAGATACGTGTAAAGGTCAGATGTGTGAACATTTATAGAAAATGACAGTTACAGCATTGGGGGTGGCGGGTGGGGAGGATGGGGAGTTGCGTGATGGTCAGATATTTCATCGTCATGCTGCATACACAATAGACATCAGAATTCGGGCAAATCGCCCGAACTGATGAAGCTGGTTGCAATTACCAGCAAAACATCGTTGTCACATTGTACGCGGTGTGGATTTACTCTCCCAACACACCGATGTGCCGAGGTAGCAACTAATTGACGTGTTTCGTTTGCGTGACAAACCCTACTAATTGGTTTAACACGTAGGCTTTCGCGACCAATATTGGGTTTTTGGCGATCGAACCCCAAAAATTGGCCGTGTCGGGTTTTGGTAGCGGGGTTTAACGATACATTTGCATTCACGCGTCCCTGAATATTACAAGGCTACAGAGTTCTGGCTGTCTTCAAGCCCCACCAATCATCCGTCTTTTTCAGAGTCGACACGGATCACGGTGCCGCCGCTCCCCAAAATGGTGACGGTGGGACAGAGCGCGGTGATGCCCTGCAGAGCCGCTCACGACCCTTCGCTTGACATCATGTTCCTCTGGTCACTCAACGGGCAGCCCATTGAACTGGACAAGACGAGCGACCACTATCACCGCTCCGAAGTGGTAAGCAGCATCGGCGGCCACTCGACTTAGCACTCACACGCAAGATAATGATTCCCCGTATAGCCTTCAACAGACTGGAGGGCGAGTGCTGTTAGCGAGTGGCACCTATGAAGGCCAGCACGGTTCACGAGGGGGTGGGTGGCCAGCAACACGTCCGTCCGCCTTTGTCTTCCCAATGGCGACAGTTACACACCAGGTACTGATTTGAGGCTGAGCCGACGTTGGAGAGGAGGCCCAGGACCGGTTCAAATAATCATCACAGGTGTTGGCCGTGAGCCGGAATCGAACTCGGGTTGCCGAGTTTGTACCGCAGCACGCTAACCGCTGCACTACTGCTCCTTACTGAGCACTTACACACACATTTAATGCGCATAAGATGAATGTAACTGAGAAAGTGATATCAATTATAATTGTGTTCTGGAAGGGTTAGACATCTCTAATATGTAGAGATGATTGTGAGTGAGTGATGTAATATCTAATGATGTTCTCGAAGGGCCAGACGTGTATAATTTATATAAATGATTGGGACTGAGGGAATAACGTAATTTCTGTTCTAGAAGGGGTAAAAACATAATACATATAAGCATAACTCTGTGCTGTTTCTGCAGATATAAATAAAAAAATACGAATTTATCCATTGGCCTCTTGGCTTTCCAGACCAATATTATCCAGCAGGAATTGTTTAAGGAAACAAACTCTGTACTGGTGTCGACATTCTGGGTCTCGTGACTGAGAGAATGATGTAAATTGTGACCGAGAAAACTGTAATTCCTAAGGGTCTTATATTGTGCGTAGCCAACCGTGCTAATCTGAAGTGTGGGGGAAGGACAACAAACTAAACACAAAAAAGCAGTTTTCAAGAAATGAGTTTTCAATCTAAATGATTTAAAAGTGCATAGTTCCAGTGACTACCTAATATCGGAAGCAAGATCATTCCAGACGGCCGCGGAAGCGCCTTTGCTCGGCGGCCAGCCAAAAGCCGCTGCTGCGAGGATGACCAGAGTTTGCGTGATGCTTTACGCTCCTTGACGAGATCAGCGAAGGTATTGTGGTTCACTTGTGGCGAGCACTTTGTGTGTAATGAGTGCGAAGTGGCTAGCAACACCTCATACAGGTCACTTCATACCCACTCCAGGGGCACTGCACTTACCCACGCGCACCCCCCCCCCCCCCGTAGATGTGCTCGCCGCACGGCAGCCCGACCAAAATTTGTGGGTTTTCTCAAATGAATATTTTTGCCAAAATTTAGCGAAACATCAAAATGTTGTATTTTTATACAGTCGTTGGTGACCCGGTTGGGACCAGCAGTGTGTGTCCTACGCGTGAGAATCTGGTTTAATATTACGGGTGGCTGACCAGATTCGAACCTGGAATGTTAACAATGTCAGCACCATGCTCTGATCCGTGCAACTCCAGCCTCTGCCTCCCCATAGATTGTTAGACGTGTAAATGCAAGTGTGATATATACAGTACCGATCATGTAAACAATCGAGCGGGATGTTGAAAATTATTATTATGATAATAATTATAGCAATGACAGCCCTTTGCCAGTCTATAAAGGCCTTTCCACTTTGTGTCAGTCCTGAGAGTTGTCTGACCATACTTCACCATGCTGGTCCTATCCGGATTGGTGAATACGGGATCCCACAACTTGTTCATGTATTACTCATCACCACTGTTAGATAATGGCTTGCAATTGAACTGAGATTACCAGGCTCGTAGTGTAGTCCACTAACAAATGGACCACCACTACACCCTTAACATTATATTAACATGCTTGCATGTTATCTTGCTTCTTATAAAATATTAATTCATCTGAGTTAAGGACTCCAGGTACTGAGGGCAAAGTTCATGACAAAATTATGTTCATGACATTATTATTCATAGCAAGCAGGAAGCAATCTTCAAAGCATAGGCATATTTATTTCCACACACTAAGTACAATTTCAGTCATTTGCTTTCAAGTTGCTTGAAATGAAAAATATATATATAACCTTTTCAAATAGACATACATATTAAATATAATCATCAATATCTGTATAATTCTACAGGAGTGTTTGGTTTCCTCTATAGGTTGAATGTGCTAGTAAATTAAATGCAAATATCGAAAGGCATGCAAAACAACCTTTTTTATATTTTCTGGTAAGCTTTAAAAATCATCTCCCATTACTAATAGCATTCAGGAGAGCTCTGCTACATTTATATATAAACAGGCTTTCCTTTCAACCCATTCTTTCTTTCATTTCGCAAGAAAAATACATTAACCTTTAGCTGTTTAATACCATGAATCTTTGAAAAGCCCCATAAGACATCTGGCGACTGTAAATATCAGTGGCATTACAAAAAAAATCAAACAACGTAGCTTGGAATATGGGGAAAAGTAGGGTGTTTAATTATGAGCGCATATGAAATATTCACATTTTTGTAAATTGGAAATATAATTTGCTCGACTGAAAAACACTCCACTGGATTACTTGTTTAACGCAAGAGCAACTTGGCATTATGTTTATCAATGCTGAGGCCCTTTTTAATGCAAGCCAGCATTTCTGCAATATGTTGTGCTTGATCTGAGATACTACACATCCCCGAAGAACATACTTACTAAAACTAAGAAATTTCCTACAAAACACACAGAATTGTCCCATCGTCATAAACGGCAGCCATGATTAATCCACTGTTGGATGAGCGCCTCCACAAGACGCGATGTAATAATTCACTTGGCACTTGCACATACACCGATTTATTTACACCGGATACTTTTTTTTAAAATCACCTAGAACCGATACAAGGATCATCAGTGCTTTCGAGACACAACAGTGCGAATAGCGTGGCTTTTATTTCACCTTTAGAGCCACTGCTTAAGCCGTTACTGCCCGAGTTCAGTCCTAAATTATTCCTTGAGTTCCAGCCTTGGGCAAAAGTTTATCTTTCTTTTGCCGATGCTCATGGTGTCATTTCACGGGGCCGGAAGAGAAGCACTCTACATTGCGAGTGCACTCTCAAATGGACTTCAGTCTTGTGATTAACAATTTTTCCTGGCAAAGTGGTTTTCACTTGAAAGTATTTTGAAATAATTATAGGAGGAAATAAAAACCTACCTTTATTTCTTTACAAATGACAAAATCCACGAAACATCAGATTAAGCAACGTATTAATGTTTAAAAAAAAAATTCCGCTTCATTCCTAAAATGCACACTCGATATTGATGTGAATGAATCACATTTTGACAGCAAAGGGCACAGGGCGAGAATGTTGCAAATCGGTGCGTCATGCTCTTAATTGCTTTGCACCCATCGCTTTTTTTTTTTTGCGGAAACATCCAGTGGCAGAAGCAGAATTTCGGTGACCTGACGATAAAGAAGATCCAGCTGAGGCACGGCGGTAATTACACGTGCTGGGCGCAAACGGTCGTGGACCAGGCCGTGGCGACAGCGGAGCTAATGGTGCGAGGTGAGGACCCGAAGGCGATTCCAAACCTTGCTCGCTCGCGCCAAGCGAGCACACGGAGGGGAGGGGCGCGATCGGTCCAAGTCCTAATCGCGTAAACGAAAACAAAATGTGACCATTCTCGCACAACGCAGAAGTGTCCGCACGTCGATGGGCGACGTGCGGACACGTTCGTATCTGCGTGTGTTGGAATTCTTTCGCACCGTACATAGCAAAGCATGCTAATGTACGGTACACACCAGGTTCAACTCGTAATATTTCAGTTTCCACAAACGCCCTCTTTTTCAATTTGTGTGATGCCTGGCATCTGCACGGTGAATTTGGTTATTTTTTTTTCTCGAAATATTTCACGTGGATAATTGCCTGAGGATGGGATGTATATAGTTTAACTCGTAGGCTTTCGCGACCAATATCATCCATAAGAGAGGTTTTTGGGTTAGATCGCGTAAATATATAAATGTGTCGTTAAAACCCGCCACCACCCGACACAGCCAACTAGTAAGGGTTGTCACGTAAAGAGAACGTGGCCAATTCGTCACCAGTACAGCACACCGGTTGTGTTGGCTTGGCTGTGTCGGGTGGTGGCGGGTCTTTACGACACATTTATATATTTACGCGATCTAACCCATAAACCTCTATTATGGATGATATTGATCGCGAAAGCCGACGTGTTAAACTGACTATTGATTTCCTCACTCTTTGGTACTGATTTTATGGGCCCCAGGGGCATGACGGGCTGGTACAGCACACCGGTGTGTTGGAGAGCCAAGCCACAACATATACAAACTGAGTACGACGCTTCGCCAGTAATTACAACTAGCTTCATCAGGCAACAGCCAGATTTGTGGAGAAGTCTTACTGTTTCGTTCCTTATAAAGACGCGAAGATGTGTTGACCACCCTTTTGCGCTCTTGCACAATGATAGGGGGGGCGGTATTACTGGGTCAACGTACATTATGCATGTGCATTATGCGAGCCCTTTGAACATGTCCTTCCTATCTATTGTGTTTATTAAAATAGCCCTACCAACGGCAATCCCTATTGAAGTACGCTGCCCTTTGTAGGCATGCATTTAAATAATGTATTACTTGATGAATCGCTTCCACGCAGCACTAAGACGGTAGCTATCCGAACGGTTAAAATTATTTTTTATTTTTTTTATTTAAAACTTTCGTGACTTCAGGGATTCATATTCTTGGTTCTTTCGGTAAAGTCACGTAGAAGGGAAACAATTTTACTGTTTTTTTATTTTTATTATTTTATTGTTTCCCTTCTACGTGACTTTACTGAAAGAAACAAGAATATTTTTTATTTCTTTCAATTTCGATAGATTATCTAATTAGTCTTGGCCAGTAGTAGCTAGTTTTGCAGAAAACATCAACATTATCAAAATCAATTGAGTGTCCTTGTTGGCACGCATGTTCTGCTACTGCTGACAGTTGCATTAGGATAATTTAATATTTCTCTGATGTTCTTTTAGTCTCGTGCTGATCATTCGTCCTGTTTGCCCAACATAACATTTACCACACGTGCAGTTAATTCTGTACACACATTTTGTTGATAGCTTCGGTAATGCATATTTTGTACTAGATATTAAATTCTGTATTTTACGTACCGTGCCAAATCTGACTCGGATGTTTTGTTTTTCCAAACATCTGGCTAGTTTATCAGTTACTCCCGCAATTTATGGTAATTTGATCGTTTCAATGTTCTTGTTATTTGTCCGAGACATTAGGCAGATCTGAAACACGGTAGGACCAATACCTCAGCCGTGGCTGATCATTGTTTTAATGCTGTGGGCACACGCGAAATTGATTTTTCCAAGACGAAGTTACTCTGCAAACCCACTGGCTATCAGCAAAGATTTGTGCATTAAGCCATCCAGATATATAGACACAGACACAATTTCAATCGAGAAGATGGGTACAAACTGAGCAATCATTGGAAGGACGTCATTAACCAGGTTAAGTCATCACTGGCTGTGATGTTTAGTAGTTATTTTCGACTCTCTGGTGTTACACTAACAGGTTAAATGTCTTTACATTAACAGGTTAAATGTCTCACTAACACAGCCACCATTGCTCGTTTTCCTTGATGTGGCGGTGGCTCTACGATCTTACATTGACATTTCTTCACTAGCCCCGTCAGCTTCGCTTATGATCCTTGAGCTACACCCATTTCAAACCTTTATAATATCCTACCTCAGCAGCTCTCTCGCTATTTTTTCACCTGAGGACGATTGCTTGTGTTGCGATCAAAATGTCGTGATATTTTTATTATGTTTTCTATCTACGTGGCTTTACCGAAAGACCCAAAGAATATTAATTCCTGCAGTCACGAAAGCTTTAAGTCAAGTAAGACTTCTCCACCAATCTGTCTGTTGCCTGATGAAGCTAGTTGTAATTACTGGCAAAACGTCGTACTCAGTTTGTAAATGTTGTGGCTTGGCTCTCCAACACACCGGTGTGCTGTACTAGTGACGAATTGGCATGTTCTGTTTACGTGACAACCCTTACTAGTTGGCTGTGTCGGGTGGTGGTGGGTTTTAACGACACATTTATATATTCTAACCCAAAAACCTCTATGATGGAATATATATAATTTAGAAGGGTGTCCAAAATTATCTAATAAAGATGGTTGTCCCTCTTAAGGATTTCAAAATGGGATGCCATTAAAGCTATAGACCATGGATAAGCAAACACTGGGCTTTTTAAATTTAATTTTACAATAATGCTCAATGTTTCACCAAATGTATTTATATGCCTTGGAGGGAGTTTACATCTCCACCGACTATGCTGATTGCTTCATCACAAGATAACATTTAAGGGCTATTATGCGAGAAACACGTTTCTCTGGGATGTTTGAACAAGCATGATAACACTTTCCCGTTCCGAGACATTTGCAAGTTGTGGGGTGTGGGTGTCCCATTCACCGCTGAATCTCAGAATGTGTAATTGGCTCAGCGTTAATCTTATTTAGAGAGGCATAGCGCCATTGTTGTTGAAGACATTTTACTCACCACAGAGAACTGTAGTGACACGACCACACTCATTTATATCTGATGCTAAACTGTGACACAAGCCTTCCCGCATGGCCTTGTGGGAGCCTCAGTACATCTTCTGACCGGAAATTATATATTTTTTCAAATCTTTGACATCTACCGTATATTTTGTCAACGTCTGTCTCTAAAGATCAAGCACGTTACACCTTTGAAAATAACACCTTTGAAAACATTTAGACTGTTTACCTCTGATTTATTTCCCTTTGATAATGGAAAAAGAAAGTTAACATCTGATATTATATTTTGTATTGTAAGCAACTGTACCCACTGCATGGCTTGAATTTTGACTTCTGGTGACACGCTTGACCAAGGATAAAAATTACGCATTAATTTGATGCACAGCCTCTTTGTAATGACGCCTCCCTCCCCCATTAGCCCACTAATCCCTCTCACCCCCCCCCCCCCGTTCACAAAAACACAATGAAAGTTACCGAGGCCACAATACGGAAGAGAGATCCCATGTCCCACACCGACGCATCAACATGGTGAAAGCAAGACGTGTTTCACAGTTGTGTCTCCCTTTGCGTTTCGTCACTGCAACGTGGCGCTGACGTTCCCCGCACACATTCACGTAATTCTCCTGCACGGCATCCATGCCACAAGCCTGTGCCCCCCGATCCTCTCCTCCCCATCCTGAAAGGCGTTTGCACTGTACCCATTGGTTGAGAACCGCTACATGAGACACGCATCTTTTTTTTTCCCATGTGAAAATGAAAACATTGAAATGAAAAATACTTTGGTCTGTTTGTGCATATGAATCAGACTGAAGATATATATATCACGGTGCCCTAATAGTTTGTTCGCAATTACAGGGCCTTCATCGCGTTGTCACACGGAATGTGTGCACATTTCCGAGCACTGCATTAATAATGATGATTTCCTAAATCCAAAGAACAGTGCAATAAATGGCTTTATTGAGTGCAAGTTAATTGTGTATCATATTTACTCAAGGAAGCATTATAATAATGCTCAAGCATCAGTAAAAAATAAACTGTATAAATGAAATGTTTTTTTTATTATTATTTTGGCAGCGGCAGCAGTTGCTATAAAATGTACTGATTAAAGGCACTCATATTATTATTAAAAAAAAAATTATGTTGAATGGGGAGTGGTATGAGGCATGTTTAAATAGACACAGAATATAAAAGGCACGCCGTGCATTTATTCGTAGCCGCTGCATCTTCCTGGAATGAATACATTTGTTTGTGTTTACTCGGGCACACCCGTGACAGACAGAGGACACGGTGACTGCGGCGTGAGAAGGGAAACACCGCAGCGCTGGCAACCTCGTTAACCCTTCCAAGATTTAAAGCTTTCGTGACTGCTAGGATCCATACTCTTTGGTTGTATTGAGTAAAGTCACGTAGGTAAAAAATAAAATAACAAAAATCACGAGGTTTCGGCCACAACACAAGCGGCCTTCATCAGGTGAAGGGACGAGACTGTCTGAAGGACAGCGCTGTCCTTCAGACAGTCTCGTCCCTTCACCTGATGAAGGCCGCTTGTGTTGTGGCCGAAACGTCGTGATCTTTAACCTTTGTTGACGCCTCATTTACAAAACCGTGGCATCGCTTTGGTATCGAGGGTCCACTTATTTGCATACTTTTTTTCATGCTCCTTTATAATCAGCAGTTTACTTTTTAAAGCATCTCCATCTAATATAATTTTGTTACTATTACTATTTTGGCGAGGCACGGGGCACACTCATTACACGATGTGCCATATTTTTGTTGCTGGGTAGTAAGTGTTATTTTCTAATTGCTTATGCCTCAAAGGTAATAGAAAATGGCTATTATTATTATTTCCTATAAACTTTGCTTTTGTGACCAGGACTTTATGTGAAGGAATGACACAAATGCACACCACGTTTTCTCATTGAAAATGAGTACATTTCAAAATATCAATGTCCTGGTCACAAAATCAAAGTTTGTGGGGAATAATA